TGAATAGCGAGACTAATATTTTCACAAAAGCTTGTTTCTCTGCTGTATAGATCCGATGCTACATGTAACTAATAAAATATATTCCAGAATAACATTCTTGTGAAAAGACCGTGTTGCATAATAACGCCAAAAAATTCTCGTAAAAAAAGTAATTATTTTTTTAATATGCAGTACTGTTAAGGCCATTAGATAACTGGGATTGCACCTGCTGTCACACGGTTTCGGTTTAATGGACAATAACAAATTTTACTTTTATTCTTAATACTTAGGAAAAATGACAATCTTGTTGTGTATTAATGAAAATCTGTTTTAGACTTTTATCCAGAAAAATAATTATATTCAGAGTAGAGATGTTAGAAAGCAAAGCCCCTTCACAAGTATCGTCATTCCGCGCTATTTGTTGTGTACAGAGTTTAGCAAATTGATCACATCCGTGAAACGCACATAGTTTTTGTAAACACTAAACAGGGCATGAGCTCTGTTAATGTTAATGTTTACGATTCACCGGGTGCGCTTAATTGTTAAAGTCTGCTCACCACAACAGCACCGACTGACAATATACTGTGTGTATGTTTTGCTTTCGAACATTTCTACTTTGGATTTTCTGGATTGTAGTTTTATTTTTTTTTCTCGCAAGAATGTTACTATCGCATATATTTTACTACATGTATAATTATTCTGTAATTTTTTCTGTCAAATTTATTTATACTGTCTCTTTATGTTTCATTTAGTTACATTTAATATGAAATTGTTCAAATTCGGATTTGAAAATGATTGTTCTATATACCGACGTTTAAAGTTACTGGGTTTATTGAAGAAGACAAATATCAATTCTAATTTCAATGAAAATTAAAATCGATTTTCAAGCTTATTATTTAATTGTATAATTCTTGGTAAGAGCATTGTATTTTCCCCATGTTATTTTATATTTTGAATATGATATGTTATCTTTTCAGAACATACTCATTAATATAATTCTATATACTTACAGTGTCTCTAAATTTACCAGGCCGTCGAAGGCATTGTCTCCCAATGTGGTTATCTGATTCCTATCGAGATGCCTGAAAAAAGTTACCGTAAACGTGTTATCAGTGATTTTTTTACTGAGATTTCTTCAATATTTTAACTATAAACTTATAATACAATAAAACATCAATTATTATTATATAGTCTATTTATAATCCAAATATAATTTATACAAAAGCAAAACAGTTCATAACATAGCGACTGCATATTAACCGGATTTCAAGACGTATGCATCAGAGGATCAATGCTCTTGAAGTGGAATTTTGACCTCACAACAAATTACGAAAGCGTATTATTGCCACGCAAAATATTTTTAAAAGTTGGTAATTCCAACTCTAACGTTTGTAATTCCAACTTTAAAGTTGGTAATTCCAACTTTAAAGTTGGTAATTCCAACTTTAAAGTTGGCAATTCCAACTTGAAAGTTAGAAATTCCAACTTTAATCTTGGAAATTCCAACTTTAAATTTTTTAATTGCAACTTAAAAGTTGTTGGTAATTCCAACTTTAAAGTTGGTAATTCCGACTTTAGATTGGGAATTCCAACTTTAATCTTGGTAATTCCAACTTTAAAGTTGGTAATTCCAACTTTAAACTTGGCTTTTCCAACTTTTTTCGGCTTTATGTATTATATTGTCTGAGATACTTTGTAGCTTAAATCATGTTACGTTTTATATATGAAATTAAAATGGAAAGATACAATTTTATTATGAAATGATGATTTTAGAAGGAATAATTTTATTGTTCATGGCCGTAGGAGCCGGAGGGGGTGCATGGGGGCTTGCCGACCCCCCTCCTCAACAAATAATACAATAAGGTGCAGAGAGATAATATTGGTAGTTGGTTGTTGATAGTGCTCCAAATTGAAAATATTATGTTCCATATACAGAATTGATATGTTCTCTTTTTTTCAAATGTCCAAGGTTGAAATCCTATTATTTACGGAGTTGACTGAAAGTTTCTTTATACGACGGTTATGTATGTTTTCCTCCAACAGCTGCGACAATAATTCCCGTACGATCAACCAAAGAAAGAATTTTATGATTTAAGATAACTTAAGAAATTGATATTAACATAAAATGGGATCCTACAGCAGCGATAACATACATTTATTTTTAATCAATAAAAATTTGACACTGAACAAATAAACTGACACAGATAAAAAGTGCTCACCAGTTTATTTCAATGTATATATTGACTTTATTAAACATAATTCAAGTTTTATACCATATGGACCCATCTGCCCTTCTTAAAGAGCCTCTCTTCTGCAACAACCCCCCCCCCCCACCTCATCTAGGTTGCGAAAATTTATTGATAACCAGTCTATTCCAGTGTATTACATTTAGATTAATAAAGTAGGTAATTATTTAAAATAAAAGGGAAAAACTAAAATAAAAAGGGGGAAATCTCAAATTAAAGTTGGAATTACCAAGATTTTAGTTGAAACTACCAAGATTTCATTTCAAATTACCAAGATTAATGTTGGAATTTCCAACTTTACAGGCGGAATTACCATTTTTAAAGTTGGAAATACCAAAATTAAAGTTGGAATTTCCAACTTAAAAGTTGGAATTTCCAACTTTAAAGTTGGAATTTTCATCTTTAATAAAATATTGCGTGGCACTAATACGCTTCCGTAAGAAATACGTCAAATAAGGTTGAAAAACAATGGTTGCAACGGCCGGAGCATGCTAAAGTTATGAGCATGATAAATTTTTAGGAAGTCTATTGCAGGACTTATTACTGTGATGTCTAACATACAGCAAAAGTAAACTATTTATCTTTTAAGTCGTATTCTGGACATTGTATTTAATTTTCTATGACCAAATTTCATTCCATTTAATAGAAATGGAATCGTTTGACAGTTTTGAATGTCTTATTTATCAAATCCTGACTAAAAAACAATTATGGACTCCTTCGATGGTGAATATGTTTTTTTTTTCATCAGATAAAAAGTCAATATTGATCGAGGCGAAGTGGACGTAACCGCTTGCCGGTGTAACGTTGAATATTAACCCCAGTTGAAAATTGACCCGGGGTCATTTTTCAACGTTGAATATTGAACCAGGGGTGTTTTTTCTCCGTTTAAAATTGAGACCTAAAGTCATTGAATTTATACCCGGGGTCATTTTTCAACAGCTTGATATTTTTTTTCTTATCCCCGATGACCTCAAGAAGTTGAAAATAGACCCTGTTGAAAATTGACCCCACCTCAGAGTTTGAACATGTTTTTGAAGTGGGACGATGTTTTATGGGATTTATATATTTTTTATATTTCGGTTTCATTTTTTTTCCCCTTTTCAAGAATAATAGAAATAAACCTATCATCCCGTGTATATATGTACAATTTGATCAGTACACAAGCAAAATAGGGCATAAAACAAAAATCCTGGATATCTGGTGTCTAGAAAGTGAGCCCTGTATAATTTTATATTGGTCAGGTGGGCAGAACATCCCATCTAGTCATATTCAGTATAAAAATTAACAAAATCAAAAGCCTAAAAATTAGAATGAAACACATCGGTCAAAATGAATTCAATGATAGGTTATATTTGTGAAAAGATCAATATTGCGACCATAACATGTAAGTAATGCTGACTTTAAACAAGGTTGGTGAAATCCCTGTAACAAACTTATCTGTCAGTAGCCTGCCTCGGCCTAAAAATCGATCGTTTTCGGAGCATAACCTTGAGAATGAGGACTAGAGTTTGGGATGGAATAGAAGCTGCACTTCCCACCATCTTTGATATCAACAATTGAAAAAAACGCCGTCCCTGCAACTTCTATTGACCTCAACAACTAAAAATCGCATTCCTCTTCAACGAAACAGAGAGAGAGAGAGAGATAGAGAGAGAGGATCCTAAAGCTTTTCTCGGAGGCGGGGGTATGGTGTCAAAACCCTCTGAAATATTGAGACAAAAAACATAAACAAGCAAGTAAACAAAAAGTGGAAAGGGAAATTAGCCAATGTTGAAAACCAAACCATGTTTCTCTAATTTGATGGAAGGGCTGCTTCAAAAATTCCTCACAAACTATCCCGTGTTTCCCCGTTTTGTGTAGGGGGGGGGGAGGGGTTCAATGTTATATTTTGGCTTCTTTATTACAAAAATTAAATAACGCTGAAAGTCAGGGTTCTGTATCTAATGCAAACATTTTTTGATTAAAAAAAATCTACAAAAATGAAGAAAACAGCCCAGTCACGAATGCAAAAAAAAATTCTTCAAATATACATGGTACTAATCCGAAAAGGGGAAATCACCACCCTTTTACATCCTCTACTTAACAAAATAAATATGTATCAATTGTGAGGTTCGTTCTTGAACTCTTTGATTAACTATGCGAAAAAGATCACTAAACCTTTTATTTTGAAAAAAATTCCGTTTTAAAGTTAGACGTTGTAAGTTATAAAAATGTTGTGCATTACTAAATAAGCATTAAAACTTACGTGCATCATGCGTTAAACTCACATCATTTACCAACTACTGATATTAGGAATTTTAAAATTGAAATAAATGAAGTGTTGTTAGCAAAAAGAAATTATGAATAAACAAATTTATGGACTAAATTGTATAATGTGTAACCATGTTTACTAATATTCAGGATTTACATATACAAATGTACTTCTTTTTAAATAAATATAACACAGAATATTGCGATTTTAAGCTACATATAACTTTGAAATCTAAGGTATTTTATAAATCATTTTATTTCAAGAATATAACTGAAGTACTGAATTAAGTGTGCATTGATTACATTGGTGTTGAAAATTGAAATTGCGCGGGAAGGGGGCTAATTGAAAAAGAAAGAAAAATTCAAATCTGAAAAAAAAATGACAAGAAAAAATTTGTCCATTGTCGAAACTAGTAGTTCAAACCCGAAAATCCTATTGGGAGGATAGGATCCAATTTTTTTTAAAACACTACCACTTACTCTTCTTTCTTTGACTACACTGTAAGGTGCCTGTTGAAAGCAGGGGGGGACTAAACCAATTTCACATTGTTCAATGCCTATAATATGTCTATCTTTGCAAAAAAGGCGTAAGCATCCCTAGCCCCCTCCCACCGTTCCCGACGCCTATGGATTAAATCACAGTTGTGAAAACCAAGTCATAAATATGTGCTTTTATGCTGTTGAATTTTGAACCGGTTTCAAGATCAAAATTCCACGACCCGGCTCAGTTTTCAACGGACTAGGGTCTAAATTCAACACCTTTGGCATCAGAATTCAACGTTGAAAAATGATCCCCGGGTCAATTTTCAACCCAGGTCAAAATTCAACGTAACACCGGTAGAGAGCTGAACATTTTGTCATATATTCGACAATTACGGCCGTTGAGCAGTAAGGGACATTTTTCTTGCCAGCAGCGACTGCGACGCGGGACCTAAGCTTTTTTTACGGTCTCATCCGAAAGACCGGTCTCCATGTTCTACCGGTGAATTCGAACCGGCGATGTAACGATTAACTCATTACTTTAGACTCTAGAGTAGATGCCCTAACTACTGTGCCACAATAGCGACAAGAAACTTGCATTTTAATTATGTATTTTTATATCTTTTATATTCTGATGAAAAGGGATTGTATAGGGTCCTTATGTGAACACATTACTGATATCAGTTATACGACTCTTTAAAAACTTATTTTTAGTATCTCTAAATTTATCAAACGTTCAAAGACATTATCTTCAAACGTTATTTTTCCCTCCAAGATTTCTAGAGATGTACAATACACAGTCAACTATATAAACATTTTTTACAAAAATAAAACCTGTACCATTCAGAAAAGTAAGATATGCTCATAACAGTCATTACTCATAAATAGCTAGGGCTGATGATGGTTCAGATTAGTCAAGACGGAATGATTACTCCTCCGTGGCACTTGATTCCACCTATAATTTTACCAGAGTTTAATGCCCTTCACATAATTTGTTTTGTTTAGTGGATTCATGAGATTAGTCAAAGATTAACTGATAGATTGGTCAACTCGATATCGAAATTGAAGCTCAATCATCATCCTATAATTTGACTTACTTTAATGACAAATGTGGATGACCTGGGAGGGCTCTTCATGATTAAAAAAATATCTATTTTATTTAGTTAAACTAAATTTCTTGTGGAAAATCTTTTAATAGTAATAAAATGTACAAAAATAGTTTCAAATTTTTCAAGAATGTATTATGCGTAGACCGATTTTTAAACAAAACGATGGATCAAATGTTTAAACACCTCCATTGAACTAGACCTCATGATCACCTCTAATGTAATGAAGGTCCATGTTTGATATGCTCATAAAAGGTATTATTTCAATAGTTTTTTTTTTGCCTTTTTTACCGTTCATTACGTTAAATTGTTTTTTGTTAAACTTTTTATACATGAACAAATATTATGCAAGAACGATTCATAATCGTATTTGTAATTATGATCGCAATCATTATAATTCAAAATCAATGCTCCTAATTTATTAGCTATCAAATATTTTTTTCAGTGGAATGTTGCTATTGTTTTTAGTTTATAATTAGTTTACGTATTATTGGAAAGAAAGATAAATTAGATATGGTTAAAATCAATAAAAAAGACTGTAACAAGGAATATATTAATTTAGCATTCCTTAAAGTTAATGTTGGTATTGAAAGTCAAGAGTCTGACTCTAATTATAGATATTTGATGAATATTTGAATTGGGGTATAAACAGCACCAGACATCGTTATGGTACTTATCTAATGATGCAATCAAGAGATTTTGCAAATTTGAAATTTCTGTTCTTAATAATGTTATGTTGAACTTTTATGAAACGATCCCTTTCTTCTCCATCATTGAAAAGAAGATCTCCATTAACTTTCTAACTGAAAGGGGTTTCATAATAATGAATAAGGAGAAGCATGTACAAACATAGAGTTGAAATACTCTTGTATATTTCCCATTCCTTTGTTATATTACTATTCTTCTAACTCTTTTAAGAGTACGATCATTCAGAGTATAACAGCCATAATATAATTTTATAAAGAAACTTTTACATTATAATATATTTCTCAAAAATGATACTCTGGAACGACTATCAGTAACAGTACATCAGAAAAAAAAATTGTACGCAATTCCAGTCTATATGCTCTTGACAGATTTTCATTAAACCTTAATCATTTTTTTTTTCATATATTTACCTTCAATACCACTTAATAGAGAAATTGACATTAGTTTTATTGCTAATGTACCTGAACATATACAAACTGGTATTTATGCCTTATAAACTTTCACATACAGGCAGCTCCAATTATCGTCATATTTAAAAAAAAATCTTTTATTTATGTATTATTTTAAGTTTTCAATCACAATATTATCATTATGTTAAATTAAACTAAACTCATTTTTAAGAGATCTCTTATTTATGCTTTATATATCAAGTTTTTAATCACAATATGCTCATCACGTTAAATCAAACTGATTGCTATTATAAATTAACATCACTTTGAATATAAAATATGATTCAAAAGTAATATACAGGAATATATCTTCATGGTTTGTTTTACTTATGAATGCCTTGAATCAGTTACTTACAATTCACATGTATCTGTGGGGATGTTGGTAGGTACTTCAGTTAACCTTCTATTATAACACCATACATCTGTCCCATTACAGGAGGTACTCCTCTCACATATACATCCACTAGGACAAGCCTCAGTCACAGGTCCGTACATTAGAACACAGAGAACTAACGTCCACACAATCAGAGTCATTTTGGGAATCAAAACGATATGTTCCCCATGAATTCTTTATCACTCAGCAAACGTTTCAATTAACGTGATAATAAATTTCTCTGGGTTAATCTAATGCGGAAACATTTTCAATAATGGCATTTGTGTTTCAGAAATTGACGCTTTCATGAAGTATATATTAGTTTCACTTTAGACAGTACTACGTATATACATGATGTAGATAAAAAGAATCACATGTTTTAAAACTTCAAAGATTGATTGGTTATGGACTTAATGCTCAAGTGTATCAATGAATTAAATACAGATATAATAAAAAAAATAAAAAAAAAAATAAAAATGTAAATCTTATATAATTATTTTTTTCTAAAGATAAAAAGAAATGATTTCATTGTAGTCTAGTATTAGACAGAAAGAATTAAATGACGTTGATGAACATTTCCCATGATATGTTTAATCTTACAATTACATTTTCTCTGTTAATCAAGATACTGTTTTTATATATATTTTTGCCACAATTGAAATACATTAAACGAAGAAAAAAACATGAATCATTACTGTTTATATTTGATCTGCCACGGATAATACATGTTTTAAATGATCAACAATAAATCGGCCATTGCAATATCAAATTTCATAACAACTTCAAAATACATTTAAAATGACAGGAACTATGAATGAAATAGTGTTATTATTGACAACAGGGAAGTTAATTTTTGTTTTTGTGTTTGTGTTTTTACAGGTGTCAATTGGTTGTTAAATGTCAAATAATTGCTCTAATGAACTTTGTGTAGTGACAAGACCATCAGGAATTTGATTTTAATGTAAGGCCTACGGGTAGAGAAGGAGAGAGGGACAGAGAAATAGATACATATTATCAATAAATAGTATTCTTCCGGTTAAAAAAGAAATTATGGTCAAAATTTAAAAATAAAGGTCAATGACTGAAATATGATAATACTAATGTACATATAAAAAAGTTTTAGGATAGATTAATTGGATTTTACAATATGCGTATTTTCATTGGATTCCGATTTCTGATTTATACTGTAAATATTAATATATACTGTTTTCATGGAAAAGGCACTATGTCTGAAAAATAATTACAGTCCTTCTGTAAATTTAATTGTTTATCTTAAAGTAAATTAAACTCTGAATGTTCAATGCCAACGAACATTCTAAGTACAATTACATGTATGTAATGCTAAGTATTATATCACTGAATATGAGATATTCGGTAAGGTAAAACTTAAAACATACATGGACTAAACATTTTTTTCTACGAAATAAAAAAGCAGTTTGAGGGGGGGGGGGTGATATCTCCGATATTATGGAGATCATCAATTTTCTATTACACTTAATTTTTGTAAGTTCTATATTTGGTAATATTTTCACGGAAAGCTTGTTTCTCTGCTGTATACATCCGATGCTACATGTAACTAGTAAAATATATTCATTCCAGAATAACATCCTTGTGAAAAGACCGTGTTGCATAATAATGCAAAATAATTTCTCGTAAATAAAAAGTGATTTCTAATATGCTGTACAGTTAAGGCCTTTAGTTAAATAGGACTGCACCTGCTGTCACACGGTTTCGGTTTAACTCAATGGACAATAAACAATTTGTAAGAGTTTTAATAGGTGCATGGAGACAGATTTGAAGTTAATATTTTCTGTATAATATCATGACTTATATATTTTAATAGCATTTCACTCAAAATTATATTAGAAATTTTGTTTCATATTAAAGTTATTGAAATTTATTGGATGGATTTGTTTGACACATTCTTGCATCTCGTAAATTTTACTTTTATTCTTAATACTTAGGAAACGTGACAATTTTGTTGTGTATTCATGAAAAAATATTAAGACTTTAATCCAGAAAAATAATTCTGTTCACAGTAGAGATGTTAGAAAGCAAAACCCCTCCACAAGTATCGTCATTCCGCGCTAATTGTTGGTACAGATTTTAGCAATTGATCACATCCGTAAAACGCACACAGTTATTGTAAACACTAAACAGGGCCAAGCTCTGTTATTGTTGATGTTTGCTATTCACCAGGTGCGCTCAACTGTTAAAGTCTGCCCACCACAACTTCACAAACTAACAATGTTTTGCTTTCGAACATTTCTACTCTGAATTTTCTGGATTGTAGTTCTATTTTTTTTTTTTTCGCAAAAATGTTACTCTCGCATGTATTTTACTAGTTACATGACATGTAGAATCAGATGTATACAGCAGAAACAAGCATTCATGAAATTACTTTCGCTTTTTCATACCAAATTAAACTTCAATCTGTGGCCATGTACCATTATTAGATATTTCGTTTCCTTCAACAAAGGGATGAAGTTCTTATTTTGATCCCTGTCTGTGTTTCGAAAGGGTGCGATAATCTGTTAAGCCTGTGAAAAGGCGTTTATTTGTAAATTCTGCCGACATTGATATTCAGATGTGAGGATTTCAGGCCATGTTTTTAAACTGGTATTAATGATGTGGTTGCAATTCTATGAAATTAGAAAAAGAAAAAGTTGTTTAAAAAAGCATTATGCATTTGCTAGAGCTGCAATTTCTCTACCTTGGTTTTCATTGCAGCCCGGTCCTTCTATACATATGTTTAACTTTTGGTTGATGGGGATTGAGGTGGGAGAAGTTATTCAGTTTTAAAGGTTTTCTAAACATTAAAAAGATTATACATCAGAAAGTTTTCCCCTTTATAGTTTACGAGATACATAATATATTAACCTCCATGAGTTACATCTTTGAAAATATATACGACTGTGTGCCATATATAATATACAAAGTTGCTTATCATTTACTACCGACATAGCGACAGGTCCCTTTTTCTCGAACATTGAAATTTACGTATCAGATTAAAACGTACGTTACACAGTTTTTGTTTTGTATTCATTAAGTCAAATCTATTTTTGATGATAGGAGAAACGTGTTTCTGATTCTAATTCATATTTCATGTAGCCAACAGTTGCTTGAGGAAATGACGAATTTGAAATTGATATCGTGTTTGTTTGATTTTTTCCGATCAGAAGCTTTTCGTAAATGTTCATGACTAGAGTTTCGATCTTTCAGACGCATACCTTTATTAGACAAGTCGAAGCGGTTCGATGTATGATCAAGACTAATTTCCATTGTTGCCTCAAGTCTTAATTTTAAGATAAAAAAATTCTGGCACATCTAAAGTATGATATCTTATTAAATCATTTATTTCCAGGGCGACAATTAATGGCTAACATCAATGATTTCTTGCTTCTACTTGTATTATTTTTGAAAGAATATGTTTCATTTGAAACACTAGTATCAGCTTTAGAGATTATATTTATTATAGCCGATCTTTTAAAATATATTTCAGACGAGGTGAACTTATCAAAAAATGTTAAATGTTTATCGTGTCTTAACTTACACATTAAATGAAATGCCTGTAGTGTGTTTTGAAATGATTTTTTTCAAACTTCATTTTTTTTTACGTTAGAAAAATAGACTTTCTGTTTTTATAGCTTTTTATGCATGTCCTACAAAAAAGGTTAACAAAACTACATGTATTCGTTTTAAATAATGATGACATAGTCGTAACTTTATAATTCAGTGCGTTAAGATATGTCTTGTCTTTAAGACAACAACGTTAAAAATTTAAGTGAACACTCCTGAAATATTGAGATTTTGTTTAATTTTAATCGATCTTAAGTAAGAGTGAAAACACTCTCAGTGATAAAAATTCATCTCAAATAAACATAAATCCTTAAATGTCTACTTAACAAACGGGGGGGTGGGGGGGAATTAGTGTTGGTTAGTTTCTCAGCCGAAAACCAACTGCAGGCAGAAAAATTAAAGACGAAACCATAACAAAATCTCACCAAACTCAAGTTCAATTGTTGTATAGTCCATATAGTTGAATTGTTAATTTCATGAGTTAAGCTATACTCTTGATTCTCCTGATTTGTAATACTTTAAAATCTATATCTGATTTTTACTTCATTCAACCATATTTTCATTTCCCCTCTGAATCGCTTTCATCGCCATTTGTCATAACACGCTTGGTCTTATCTGAGAGAGTTAATCTCTACACTCTGTCCCTTTATCGAGTCTCCTCATCGCTGGAACCTGGCTTTGTATTTGGTTCTATTTGTATCTCTAGCTTCTGGTCGACCATGTATGGCCGGTAAAGGATCATAATTGCTTGAAAAGGCTTGGCGCTTCCGTTTTTTGTCTAATTTAGGGATTTTTTATTTACAGTTTTCGTAAACAACCTGTATTCAAACATCCGAAAATATTTCCCATTTTATGCTAAATGCATACATGTAAATGCATTAGCGTTGAAGAACAAAATAAATTATATTTTTTATTCGGTCACTTGATAATTTAGAGTAAAAAAATATTTCATAGGATCATGAAGCTATCAGCATAAAAATTGGTAATTTACTCATTCATCAATGAATACTACTATTAACTGACTTTTGAAAATTAACATCCCCTCCAACATCTCAAAATTGTTATATATTCAAATGTGGCATTTTAATAGACTTGTCTAATATACTAAGTCCTCTCATGAAAAATACGAATATTTCTGTATTTCTTTTAAGCTAATAAACTCAACCAGGAAATGTTTTATCTCTTGATGTTCTCTCTTCTACTAAGTTTAATAATAAATATAAGTTAAAAGTTTACAAAGAATTGTTTCTACGTTAAATAAAAACTACGCTATTACTTGTGACAAACTTTTATCCTAGAGAACCTTTTGTCATCTTGAGAGAAACATGGACAAAACAAAATTGAAGCTATTGTCCATAGAACTGTACGTGTCAGCATATGAGGATGTTACACAAAATATTATGTATAGCAGAAAATTAACTCTCCGAGTTATATACGTGGAGAAAAAACTCCGCAAATTTAACATTTAATGAATTCATAATCATAAATTGAAATTAATCTTGAATTTTTCTGTTATGAGATTCGGTAATTTGATAACATAAAACTCATAAATATGTAGCGAGATGTAGACCGTTCTTTTCATTATGCAGGTGAAGATCAATCAATAACATCATGTTCTTAGTGGATTTTAAAGCTTAATCATTTAATGTATGTTTTTTTTAACTTATATTACCTCTACTTATCAAAAAAGAGATGCAATGTAATTACCTCATAGA